TTATGGAGCACTATTCATCTTGAAAGAGAATAACTCTACTTTGTCTTAAATGTTGCCAACTACAGAGATAAATCACTAGGTCTTTATGTTTCCTGAAGTGGCTTCATTTGACTTCTGAGATGTAGATGCAAGATTATTCATGGTTTTGGTTTCCACAGAAGGGGAATACAGAAGCTGAAGCAAGGATGGAGCAAGCACTCCTCGATTAATGTTGCTGAAAATACTCATTGACCTGAAGAGTATTACTTGCATTAATGGCTGTTGTCAGGTGTCTATTTAATCACCCTTCAGGATAGAGGGGAGGGGCAGATTTTCAGTCCCAAAGAGCAAAGAGAATTTACATTAGGAAATGTAAAACGGGTCTTAAAATCATAAAATCATAGGGTTGGAAGAGACCTCAGGAGGTCATCAAGTCCAACCTCCTGCCCAAAGCAGGATGAACCGTAACTAAATCATCCCAGCCAGGGCTTTGTCAAGCTGGGACTTAAAAACAGAGATTCCACCCCCACTCAGGTAACCCATTCCAGTGCTTCACCACCCTCCTAATAAACAGTTTTTCCTAATACCCAACCTAGACCTCCCCCACTGTAACTTGAGACCATTGCTCCTTGTTCTGTAATCTGTCACCACTGACAATAGCCTCTCTCCAGTCTCTTTGGAGCCAGGTAGTTGAAGGCTGCTATCAAATCTCACCCCTACTAGGGATGTAATAGTACAGTCAATTAACCGAGAAGCAAAGGCTTATAGGTTAATGCTATAGACTACATGCATTCCCCCTGCCTCCACTCAGTAAATTTTTTTAAAAGGCTGGCCAGCAGCCCACCTCAGTCCCGGTTTGTGTCAGGTCCAAGACCTACACCCACTGCAGCTCTGCATTTAAACTGTATTAGGTGCCAGGTAGCCTGGCTCAGTTCTGGCTCACACTCAGCCCGGGGGCTCAGCCTCCCTCCCACCGCGTACTCCCACACTCCTGGAGGGGAGGCAGCTGGTCCACAAAGTGAGCTGGATTTTAAATTAGCTCCCCTTGCAGACTACCTCTCTTCTGGTAGCTCGAGCTGCTGCCTCTGATAGAGAGACAGCAGCATGGGTTAACAGGGGGCTCCCCAGAAGTTGACTAACCAATAAGAATTCATGTAGTTAATCGACTATTCAATTAACCAAAATTTAACATACCTAGCCCCATCTCTTCTCTTCTGAGAAGAGCTCGAATCCCTCAGGTTCTCCTCATAAGTCACGTGTTCCAGCCCTGAATCATTTTTGCTGCCCTCTGCTGGACTTGCTCCAATGTGTCCACATCCTTTCTGTAATGGGAAGCCTAGAATTGGACTCAGTACTCCAAATGTGGCCTCACCAGTGCCAAACAAAGGGGAATAATCATCTCCCTAGATCTGCTGGCAATACTCCTACTAATGCATCCTCTTGGCGACAAAGGCACACTGTTGACTCATATCATATCCAGCTTCTCATTCACTATAATCCTTAGGTCCTTTTCTGCCGTACTGCTACTTAGCCAGTAGGAGTACTTGGAAGTCTTCCATCCCGAGTCCAGGACTCTGCACTTGTCATTGTCAAACCTCCGATTTCTTTTGGCCCAATCCTCCAATTTGTGTAGGTCACTTTGGACCTGAACCCTATTCTTCAACTTATCTACCTTAGCTTAGTGTCATCTATGCACTTGCAGAAGGTGCAATCCATCCAGGTCATTAATAAAGATGTTGAACAAAACCGACCCTTGGGGCTGATACTGTCCACCAGCCAGACAGCGAGCCATGGATTACTACCTTTTGAGACCGACAATCTAGCCAGCTTTCTATCCACCTTACAGTCCATTTATCCAATCCATACTTCCTTAACTTGCTGGCAAGAATACTGTGGGAGACTATATCAAAGGTTTGCTAAAGTCAAGGTATATCACATTCACCATCTTCCCCATATCCACAGAGCCAGTTACCTTGTCACAGAAGCTAATCAGGTTGGTCAGGCATGACTTCCTATACTGGAGGCTTATAAGGACCTTTAGCTTACTACTGAAAGAACAAGACCTTATTGCTTTTTCTGTACTGAATTGTTTAGATGTAGACCACAAGCAGAGAGATGATTAAGAGAGGTATGTGTGAAAGACTAGTAGCCTCAGATACAGATGTCTAGTTGACTGCCGGTACATGAGGGAGGTGAGAGAAAGACAATGGTGGTTGATTTGTCTTCTTCAACTAGCAAGAGAAAATTATGCACATTTAGGGTTGCCAGATGGTTTAAACAAAAATACTGGGCACACTTGACATTACATCACAATCTATATTACATCTTATTTAGAAAATATTGGACATTTATATTTTCTCAGTTTGTTTCCTGAACAGAAAGCTGAAATACTGGACTGTCCAGTTCAAAACTGGACACCTAATAAGCCTATGCACAATTAATTAAACAGACAATGATGTATTCAGAACAAGAGGAATAAATGCATCTAGGCACTACATGAAATTAAAAAATTTGTAAATTAATTGAATGTGTTAGACACTAATCGTCCAGCTGGACAATTAATATATGACAAGAAGATAGTCAACACACTCAGGGAGGGGTTTTAATAATCAAAACTGTTAGAAAGTGTACATTCAAGTTATTCTACAATACCAATCAAGCCTGGACTGTTGTACAATATGTTAAGCATTAAAAAAGGGACTTTTCAAATATTTTCAAATATTGTTTGGCCTTTTATATAAGCACATTAATAAAAGCCAGAAGTAAGTCCAATCCAGGGCTGCCCTTCTAACTCTAGCAAATGCAAGTTAAAGTTCAATGTAGCTCATCTTGAATACCCACACAATGTTACTACAACAACAAGTCTTGTTCTCTTCTATCTAAGAGAATCCTCTCTAAGAGAATTCAGCTCCCTCCTCCAATTCATGCACACCTTTTACTTAGTGTTTTATTTTCAGAGATTGAAAGCTAAGGCATTTTGCTTGAAATGTGTATAAAACTAATCCCCTTTCAGCTTCAGTCCATGAGTAGTGGCTTTCTAATTAGTTACTACCTTGAGCCATTTTTTGGATTGATCCACCCCTTTCTGACTGCATAAATTTACACAAGTAGGGTTGCCAGATGGTTTCAACAAAAATACTGGACACACTTGACATTACATCACAATCTACAATACATCTTATTTAGAAAATACTGGACATTTATATTTTCTCAATTTGTTTCCCGAACAGAAAGCTCAAATGCAGGACTGTCTGGTTCAAAACCGGACACCTAGCAACCTATACACAAGACGTTCTTTTTTTGACAAATTCTCTACATAGCCAAAAAAAAAAACCTCTCTCTGTAATGTTTTTTCCTGTGGGACGACAGAGTGATGTCATCACATCGCTCTGTGTCCACAGGAGCCAAACCCCAGCCACTCCCAGCCTGGCCCTTCCCACAACCCATGTGGAGAGCTGGGGTGCCTGTGGCCCCGGCCCTCTCTTCCCCCCCTCTTCCCAACAGCCAGGAGAGCCATAGGCTGCCGCAGCTTGAGCCCAGCCCTTCCTGGTGGTGGAAGAAGTTGGGGGGGGAGGGATAGACTGGGACTGGCATGGCCTTGGCTCCAGCCTGGCCCCTCCCAACTGCCGGGGGAGAGCTGGGCCCAGCACAGCCGTGGCCCCTTCCAGCTGCTGGAGGAGAAGGCAAGAGCAGGGCCTGGCGGGAGAGGGGGAGGAGCTGGGGCTGGGCCATCCCTGGCAGCTGGGAGGAAGAAGGGGTTGGGCCCTTTCCACCCAAGAGGGGGGTTGATGAGCATAGCGAGCAGGGGGCACTGCCCACTAGTAATCTTTACATTTACTTTTGACTTCTCAGTGGATAAGCATAAGCTATTCCGTCATATAATGCCACACAAAAACAGCGAGACACTTTCCTCTGAAGTTAGTTTGACCTCTTACACTAACATATTGCCTTAGGCTTATTAACACCCATTCAACTGATATTGAAAGAAATCTAAACCTACATTGCCCCACAATTTGGACTATGACACACACCAACATGCAGGGCTGAAACTCCCCCAGCTAGATGTTGCTGTTCTCGTTAATATAGTCCTCTCATTAGGTACTTATATTTGGCACTTGCAGCTTACACACAAGGAAGTTACAGTGCAGCATCCTAGCAGACACTGAATTTCAGACCCTCACAGTCTTACCTGCAGGGTCACAGACAAACCCTAAGTTTGCTTAACATACACGTTCATATGTGGTCTTCTGGCTCGTACTGTATAACTTACCCTAACTCGGTCGGTATTACAAATCAGAAGAGTAGGTATAAATACATCTAATGCAGACTCAGAGTAAGGGAAGCCCATTCATGCTGCCTTACACAGAATTGGTGAACTTGGTCCATTTAATTTTCCAGACACTATATTCACATTTTTTATGCAAAGTTCAGCTTTCTGTTACTTCATCTCACCATGGTTTGTATCCTGTATTCAGTGAGCTGATAGCCACTGCCATCTCTTGGGCCAGCTCCAAGCTCCCGCAAGGACCGTGGCCCAGAGTGGAAGGGGTAGGGCCAAGGACAGCTGAGCTGCCTACATGGCTGTGCACCTCCTTTCCAGCCCTTAGTGCTGCCTGGAGCATGCAGCTTGGCACGCCGATGGCAATTCCGAGAGGCCTGGTGCTCTGGCTGCTACCACTGCATTTTCTGAGGCCCGAGGCCATTTCCCCCTTGTACCTCCCCTGTTAGCAGGCCTGCCTGTATTCCAACTTCAGAGGCCTATATAAAGGAATTTCTATCCATAAACTAAATTTTTTCATTGCCTTTGCAGAAATAATTGTCAAGAGTTTAACCATAACCAGTCAGAGAAAAAAAATAAGATCTGCCTACTTCTTCCCCCCTTAAATTACAGGCAGTAACCTAATCATACACATAACTCCACTTAATTTTAGTTTCAAAGCAACTTTTATTACACTCATTGCACCAGCAATAAGCTGCAAGTTCTTTAATGTGATGCCTTTTGACATGGGTGTGGGACTCACCCCTCCTGCCTTTAGCAGCTTTCTTCTGAATTCTTCAGTTGGGTTGTTGAATGTGAGCTTTTCGCAACGGAGGTGGTTTACAGGTGGGTGCCCTTCAAGGTGCAGGAATAAGTCATAGTCAAAGCGGACTTTCTTAGGTTCTTCCTGGGGGTTGAAAATAACCAAAAAGAAAAATCTAACACCACAAATAATTAGCTTGAAAATGAGGGCTACATAAAACCATTAAATAAGATGATGTCAATTTAAACGAACGTTTTCACTGTTCTCTTATAGTAAAACTAGTGGCCTAAAGCTTGCAGCAACATTCATTTTTATTTTAAGGTCCTTTGTAGTAATTTGAGGCTGATTCTTCTTCACAAGCAGTAAAAAGAAAATGTTAACAGGAATAAAACTGCAACGGTCTCTGCTCATTTTGTTCCTTGTCACTACTGATAATCTAATTGCCCAGTGTTCAGACTAATGAACTAGATTTTCAAACATTTAATCACAAAATAAATCAAGTAACTTGTTATTGTTACGGTAGTAAGGAATGACATTTTCAGGTAGTAATTACATATAGTGCTTTCCATGTTCCCTGTACCAATAGGGAGTAAAAGGGGATGTGTCACACAGGACATGGAAGAGATCACCAATGTTCTATCACTTAGAAAACTCCTTTACCAAAAAGGTCACTAATATCAATGATCACGCTACAGTTTTTAATACCAGGACAAGCAATCACTTCACCATGTTGTAGATTCACAGCTCTCCTTACATATTTTTTTTTCTAGAAACCCTAAATGGGGCAACTGCTCTATACGAGCAAGTCCTAAAAGACAATAATGGACATCATTCAGCACTCTATGCCTGCCAGTTATACAACACAAGCTACCAAACCATGGACACACAAGACCAACTACTAATGGAAGAAAATAAGCTGTCAGATTTATAAGAGAGTTCTTGTTTCTCCCACGTATAACCAGTTTCAGCATACATCCAGCATGTCTTTTTGATCATAAGCTACTCAGAAGGAATGCTGTAATTGAGTCTCATTCAGCGATAAGCATACTATGGGTGCTTAAATCATATAAAAAAGTGTTTACTTTTGACTCCTCAGGATTCCAGGAATGTGGACAGCAGGAAGCGTGGAAACCTTAATTACAGTAAAAAAAAAAAAAAATTCAACACAAAGATTTTCAAGTCAGGTTAAGTCTTCAACGCTGGTTTATCTCTAAACTTGAAGCAGTGACCCAGAAAAAGCAACTGGGATAAGCAGTCTGCAGTAAGATGTTTTTCAAGACAGAGGAAAGCAGTCCCCTTTAGATGAACCAGTTTCTTGATTGCCCAGACTGAAATGTACCATAGATGAAGACAGAGGCTAATATGTGGCTTCCTGTGAAAAATGAAATGAATTATTCCCCCAAACTATTTGGGCAGAACCACACAGTTGCCCTGGCTATTGTGGTGGTACCACAAGTGTGTTATATAAGCCCAAGTTGAAAAAGGTGCATCGCCTGGCGTCTTCAGAGAATTTTACTGAACATCTGATGACCAGAGCCTGTCACTTCAAAGCAGAAATTTACTGTAAGATGCTAAAAGCCACAGTCAATGGTGGGCCTAAAAAGAGGGCACAACACACAAACTCACTTAAACTCCCTGTGTAGGTTCACACACCCTTTTAAAAAATAATAGCGCATTTTTTCCAAGTACTGAAACCTTGGAGCTAAAAGCGCATTTTTAAATGACCACTGTACATTTATCAACCGCTGTTAATTGCACCCTCTCTGCAGCGGAATATGCCATATGCTTCTCTGCATTCCTGTGACTCCTTAAAGTTGTGAATATTTTTCTGTCAGAGGGAAGAGCATTTTGGATTTTCTACCAATTCCTTTTTAATTGCAGGAACAGACACACTCCAATTCTTTGAGTCCAATGTCCACAGCAGATGGCTTCCTGCACCCCTTTCTTGTCTACATATACCTTGGATACTTTCTCATTCAGAAATGGAAAAAGTTGTCTACCTTGAATAAGTGATGATCATCTGTCTCCTCTTGCTCCTCCAATCTATCTCTTTTTCCTCTGTACTGGAAACCCTGTGATGCAGCTTGGGGGAGGGAGAGTAGTTGAGTCAGGAGAAGGTAGTATCTTAGCTGAAGGAAGGGACCATCGCCAATGGGAGTTGGTCCTATTTTGGGGTCTTTTTCCCCTTTGTGGGCTATTGAGCCCAGCAAAGGATTTGATGCTGCATGTATGTGAAGAACTGGCTGACATGCAATACAAGCTCTGCTTCTTGATTTCCATGGTACCAAAACAGGAGTGAAGGATGTTTGCAAATTTCCAATTCCAAATGTTCCTTGAGAGTGAAGTGAGCTGTAATCATTGGAGCCTTGTTCTTGATTTCAGTGTATAATTCCAGCTGGAGAAGCCCTCCTTATTCAGCAAAGGCAGCCAAAAGTCTGGGTGGAAAACAAAAAAAGAAATGTCGGGCAGGAAGCCTCTGTAGAGACGCTTCAATGAATCACTGTCTTCTGACTGTGAGTCCCCGATTTTGGGCTGCACTTTGAACGGATGGGGCTTAACGACCCAAAAAATGGACTGCTTTTCTATAATAAAGTCAGATATCCTGGAATGAACCAAGTTGCTCCCTAAAGGAGACAAATGCATCAAAAATGCACCCAAAAAACCAGTTAATTCACTAAATCAGTTCTTTCTTTCTCCACTATTGGGTGAAGCAGAGTAAGGCCTACTCTCCACAGATTGATACAGGGAACATTGCAAATCTTATTCAACATCTACTATTGAAAACCAACAACTTAAAAGGGTACCTGAGCAAATCTTAAAATAGGACAAGCAGAATAAATCATGTATTGTATCTTGACAGAACTTTCCATAGAAAAGAACTGAACACTGTTGGGCCTACTTAAAAGCATTTTGAACCTAGTGTACATGCACTTCTCTAAACTTCATTTTAAATGAGCACATTTGCAATGAATGCTTTAGCTACATAAGACTTTTTTTTAGTGCACTGATCTTATTCAAAATTCTAAAAAGAGATATTTAAGCAAAATATATATATATAAATGCATACTTCTGTTTCAAGCCAGTAACACAAGCTACATTTTGGTCAATTCAGTATTACAAGATAAGCTACTAATAATGCTTGTGTCTCATTTACAACAGCAGCGCCACCAAACCACATTGGCCATATGTCTGCAACTTGAAATGCTGTAATAATTAAAGTTCTTTACACTAAATTAAAGAAGCTATGTGAATTCTGCTTATTCCTCTCCATTCCTCCCAAATCTAAAATATTATTAGCTATAGGGTCCATTTAATATATTTTCAGTAAAATCTCCATATTAAACTAACTTAAATACCTGCAGAAAACAGAGTATCGATCTGAAAGTATATTGGGAGAAACCACAATATTGGACTCTTTGTGGAATAGCAAAAAAACTGTTTTTAACAGAGTGCCCTGGTAACACTGAGTTCAAAAGTATCAATATTCATATTACACTACATTATTTTTTTCAGAGATGGCATAATATTACAAAGTTTCCATTTAAAGACCAAAAAAAGCAAACAAATGAGAAAATTGACAATATTAATTAGGACAATGGCATCATTGTACACACAGCATCAAAATCAGCTTCTTAAAAAAAAGCTTTTATAGTATTTTTAAAAAACTTTCTAAGCTTCCTGAGAAAAGCTAATAAACCTGAATTTTCCTCAGGTAATCTAATTTTATAGATCAATCTTCACAAATGATTAAGCAAACCTATTGTATCATTCATACCATAATTCGTAGCATTTGTAGTAGCTTTTCATGATGGCATTTAACAAGTTTTTTGGGATTTGTGAATTAAAATGCAAACTGTCAAATAACTTGCTTTTTTTTTTTTTTTTTTTTTTGCAGGAAGATGAACAGGATGAGATTACACACCTTGTTTTTGAAGTAAACCTCAATTGGCAAAATGAAGCCAGCATACCCAGATTCTTCAACTTTGTAAGGTGGATCTTTACACACTGAAACAATAAAAAGAGGGTGGGGGGAAATCTCTTTAATGACAATGGTTATCAGAATGAGCATTTGTTAGACATCCAAGTACAGAATTGGTCACAGTTTCTGGAGCAGATTTTTTTCAACACTTCCCTCCACAGAGTGCAGAGGGCATAAAATTGATGCTTTACACATTTTCAATGAGTTTTTTCTTTTTTTAAATTTATTCTTTCTTCTTAAAATAGCCTATTTAAAATTAAATCTGAGTTCAGTGCAAAATATGTTAAGGCCTATACCTATTATCACCTCTTAAAATATGTAACTAAAAAATAAATATGTAGAATCCACGAGCCTATCATAAAATTTGTATTAAAGTTTGCTTTTCCATGCCAACCAAGAGTCGAGAAAAACAGTTAAGTTTTATAAATATGGCACAATATATTTATATATATTTATTTAAAAAAATATTTTTACCCCGCTGCTCTATTTAAAATACTCAAGGTGGCTTACAAAAATTTTAAACACAATACAAATATATATACAAATTTAAAATACAAGACCCCAGAGGGACATAAAACCTTCTAAAAACATATCGAGAAGAAGAACATACACATACAGACTCAAACATTAATAAAAGCACGAGTAAAAAGGGTGGCTTAGATGCGTCATGTGTATCTAAGTGGTCCCTATCTGTATTCCAGTGAGGGTGTCCGTTCCACGCACCCATAACTGAAATAACCTTGCAAGCAGTGTCAACTGGTTTGTGTCTACATCCTTGCTCTCCTACTGCTCTGCACTGTACCAAGGGTACAAGTGAGAGGCAGACTAATCACCTCTTCTGTTAGCTCTCTAACGCAAATCTTGCAAAGATGTGACGTGTCAGGAAGATGGGAGATAGCGGAACACACAGAGGGACTACACATCTCAAAAAATTCAAATTACAATCTAGTAAGTAACCCTGCCCTGCACCATGTGATTATCTTTCTGAACACTCCAGACTAGTAGGGAGACATCAATAATTACTGCCTTATTGAGTGTGGGATATGGAACACCCATACCAAACATCTTTCCACCAACTTAGCAAGGACCCCATTCTGGAGTGAACTGTCACTATGGTGTTCATGCTGTACTCACCTGATACACATAAATTGGTGCTTATGGCATGAAATGTGTCAATCACCTAATAAGCCCTCACCCTTCATGGAGCACAGAATAAATAGCTCCTATAAACCTGACAGACTTTTCCATGTTCACACAAACTTCTAGGGATGATACAAAATGAAGAGGAGACATGGTGAATGCAAGGGCTTCTAAATGTGCCAATGAGAAGCTGATTGCTTGAATATGGGAAGAAAGTGGACCTGTCCCATTGCTACTAGAAATTCTTTGGTGAAGACCTGAGAGCAATTACTAGAACAAATGGAAACACCCTGTATTGATAGTGGCCACAGCACACCATAAACCTAGGGAATTTTTGGTGGTGGGGCAAATATCCATGTGAAAATACACATCTTTCATATCCAGAGCTGTGAACTTTACTTTCCAGTGATGGTATTATCAATGCCAGTGTAACCATGTGGAACTGTAATTTGTGAATAAAATGAGTCATCATAGGTCAAAAATGGGTCTCCACCCCTCCTTCTCTGGGGGAATTAGGAAATATTTCAAATAGAACCCTTTGCCCTTCACGTTGAATAGGCACTCACACACTCTCTCCCCAACTTGGGAGTGAGTCTACCTCCTGAAGGAAAATCTCCTTGTGATGGTGGTCTATGAAGAGTGACTGGAAAGGGGTTTTTGGAGGAGATAGGGAGAGACACTTGTCTGTTGTTTGTCTTCAGTTGTGGGGGAGGAGATAGGGAGAGACACTTGTCTGTTTGTCTTCATTTGTGGGGAAAAATGTGCAAGATGGCCACCAAGGAACAGAGGCTTGGGTGGAAACTCTGTCAGCAGTGGTTCCCAAATACCTAACTCAAGGTATATCTTTGCTGGTGGATGGATTGGGTTAATAGGGAAGGTTTAAGGTACTGTGACTTTTGAACCCTCTTTCTTTTGCAAAGTAGTTTCTAGGACTGCTGATTTCAATTGTTGTTTGTGGTACTTCCTCCTAGGGCTTGGTGTAAATGTAATCACAGCACCATCTTTAGAAAGAGCAAAGACTCCATCTTTTCATTGAAAAGGTTGGTCTTGTCAAAGAACAAGTCTCTTCATAGTGTTCTGGACCTCCCTGGGAAACTCCTAAAAATTAGGGCCAGGATTTCCAGAGCAGGACAATGGCCATTGATTTCAGCTTACTGTGCAATGATCTCAGATTGCAGCAAAGTTCTGGTCACCTGCTTGCCTTCCTCAATAGGAACCTGAAATTCTGCTGTATCCTGCTATGGTAACTTATCTTTAAAAATCTAGGAATTTTGAATAGTTAAGATGTAACTAACACATTGTGAAGTATTTACAGGTTTAAAGAAAAGTTGTCTGTAGGGTTGCCAGATAGTTTAACCAAAAATACTGAACACCCTCCCCCCACTTTCCCCCATAAAAAAACACCAGGAAATAAAATTCTGTTGAGGAAAAAAAGGGGGAAACCAAAGTTGTTGATCCAAAAAAAGGGGGGACCCCAACAGCAGTTAAGAAAAGAAAAAGCATGGCCCCTTTAAGGAGAGGCTTTTTTTGCCAGTGGCCATTTTGTTTTTCTTTTCCAGCCACAAGACATGTCCCTGAGGAACCAGGTAAGCAAGGGGTCAAGAGGCCCAGCAGGGGATCCGTGGGGGTTAGGGGGCGGGTGTGGGCCCAGTTGCTGAGTGTGTCGTAGGGTTGCAGGTCCCAGGTATTTTTGCCTCCTGGCAGGGAAAAAACCCCAGAAAATACTGGACATTTTAGGTGTCCAGTATTTTCTGATTTTTTTTTTTAATTACACACAGACAGGAGGCGAAAATACTGGACTGTTCAGGTCAATACCAGACATCTAGCAACCCGAGGCATCTGGAGCAAAAGCAGAACCTCTGGAGATTGGAGGTTCCAAATCAGTGCAGCAGTAAAAAGGAACTAATAAGTGCACTGCACCCATTTTACACACTTGGTGCAGCAGAACATGAGGAGAACAGGCTGAAAGGAGCAGAGAAACAAACACTGCTTTCAAGAATTCTCCAGTGTCAGGCACCTAGATTGTTGCATGCAGGTTTCATTGCAACTTAGACTGACGTGGTTACATACACATTCTATCATAGGATGCTATTTTTGTTTCTCCAACCTGGAGGGCTGATCTTAAAGTTAAAATGAAATATTCTGGGTGGAGGGTGTGGAGGACAGGAGAGAGCGGGAGCTGTGGAACAAAGGCACAGAGCAAATAAAGCTGCTTCACTCTATGTGTATGGGGACTGTAGTATTCAAAGTGAGCTCCTTGGAAGCCATCCTGTTTCCCTCCCTGCTCTTGTGAAACCCATTAATATAACTGCTGGCAGGAGCAGATCCTCTGTACAAGCTCAGCCAGTAATCTGCTGGCACAGGCTTCTCATTTTGTTTTTCAGAGGTTCCCATAGTATTCCACTCTGCTGCAACTGTACATGCAATTTAACCTTCGCTAAAACATGCTGGAGAGTGGGAGAATGGGAAATTCTCAGGGAACGGCAGAAACTCCAAAAGCCACAAAATACTGTAATGACCAAAACAAAAAAGTGGAGCTTCAAAAGAAAACAGAACTTATTTGACAGACAGGAACAGTTAGCAAATACAGATGCATGCAAAGAGCAAACACAGTAGGAAGTTTTGCTGAGGTCTGGCATAAGTGGACAAGGGGTAATTCCACCGTATTGTAACAATTAAAAATGAATTCTGCAGTATATTAGATCAGAAATATTTATTTTTAGAAAAACAGGAGCTTCTATCACCAAACAATGCTAAACAGCACATCATTTCATTTATTTTGTGGCATATATTTAGAAGTATAGAGTTTACTATATCCAGGTATATATTAACAACAAACCAAAGAAAACGATACATATGTAATATGTGAAGTAGGCCCAACCAAAATAGTTGCCTAATCTGCTATGGGCTATATACAAAGAGGCGGTGGCAATCCATGACCTAAAGAATTTGAAATCTAGATTTGAGAAGTTTGGACTAATTTACATATTCTTTTTGTAACCCAATCCAAACAACAAGTGCCTACAATCTCATTTAGAAAATTAGAAAGTAAGGTCTTGTACATCATTTCCATAAACCAGAAAAGGAAGTAAGGACTTATTTTTCAAATCTAATACACACAAGTTCACCTATGAGCACATGACAGTCACAGAATTTTCAACTCCAAAGAGGAATTCTTTGGGAAGTAAACCACAAGTAAAGGATTGTCCTAACAGTAATTGACTTGCAGTTTTCACTGTCATGTAATTAATTGTGCAAAATATGGAGATCATCCACTCAATAACCGTATCTGAAATCTATCTATCTATGTACAGGCAGTCCCCGGGTTACATGGATCCGACTTACATCTGATCCCTACTTACAAACGGGGTGAGGCAACCCCACACTAGCTGCTTCCCCCCAGCAGACCAGGGAGACACAAAGCTAGCACCCGCCCCCAGCTGACCAGGGAGACGCAGAGCGGCTTTTCTCAGTAGACACCTCAGCTTGAGAATAAAGGACTGAGGGAAGTGAGGTGTGGGAGAATAAAACTGAGCTCTGGAGAAATGTTTGGCTGGAGTTTCCCCTACAATAAGCACCAGTTCCGACTTGCATACAAATTCAACTTAAGAACAAACCTACAGTCCCTATCTTGTATGTACCCCGGGGACTGCCTGTATGTATATTTTAGAGTGAGTCTGTCGGTGAGTCCGCCTTTCTGCACATCTGTGAGTCCGCTTGTTCAACAATTCCTGCCAAATTGTAAGAGCTAGGACCACCAAATTTGGTATGCAGCTTCCTCTTATCCTAACTTAAACCAAGGTCAGAGTTTGGCTGTGCCTGGAAAATGGGACTGTTTTCCACAACAGGGAGAGAAGGGGCAGAGAGGAGAGAGATGCAAAAGGGA